GAATTCCTAAGGAGAAGCTGCAAGTAACAAGAAGAGATAGAATAAATAACGATAGAGAGAATGGTAATGACTCCGATAATAACTATCGAACAAAAGTTACCTGGTACGGACATGTCAGAAGAGCAGACCAAAATCGGTGGATAAATAGAATAACAGAGTGGAGCCCGATAGGAAGAAGAAAGAGAGGCAGACACCGAAGATCTTTCAGAGATGAAGTGGACGAAGCAATGAGAAGTAAACCTACAGGAAGGGGACTGGCTAAACAGGAAAAATTGAGAGAAAACGGTTGAGTGAAGGAATACAGTGAAAACTGTGGAAATCCTTTGTATATATATACATATATAATATCTATTACCTGCGCAACGCTGCGATTGGATGCTTTTCGCTATTCCTGCTACATTACTAAAACAACCTTGTGCACAAATAACCTGTCAAGGGATAGTACGTTGCTAAGAATTTTGCATTTGTATTTCAGATATACGCACGACTTTTTAGGTAAGTTTTTATAACATCTGTTTTTTTTTTCGTCAAAGTTATATTACTCTAATTGTCATATTGATAACATATTACTATTTCATGCATTTTTTGTGTTGAAAACTTTCTACGTTGATATAAGAGGTCTGTATCTCTCATATACACGCGACTATTTGTGGTAATTAGTTCCATTTTGTTTATTTTATTTTAGAAATGGCGGATAAGAAGATTTTGAATCTCAATGATCCCACTGATATAGACGCTGTTACAAATTTGATGTTTGCTGTTTGATGTTAATGTTGTGATGAAACATGTTTCGGAACGTGAGTCCGAATTAAGTGATGTAAGTAATGCCGAAGACGAAGCTGACATTTCCAACGAGGCTTGAAAAAAAAATGGAGCTATGGAGAATGGATGATTTTATTATAGTGATGAGTTGGAGAATATTTCCATTTTTATTGAGAGCATTACGTTTAGATGACATAGTTACGAGAGTAGAGCGTAAAAGAATGGATTGCTTATCCATGGATCGAAAAATGTTAAAATTAACGAGAAACTAGAGGAATTTCGTGGAAGATGCTCCTTTATTCAATACATCCCCAAAAACCCAAGAAATATGGGATCAAAGTTTATGCCATGGTAGACGCTCGCATCTTTTACACTTATAACATTTAAATTTATGCAGCGACTCAACCAGATGGCCCATTCTCCATAAGTAACAAACCACGATATGTGGTAAAAAGGTTGGCAATACCTATATTTAATACGGGGAGAACACTGACCACTGACAACTGGTTTTCTGATTTTGATTTGATAGAAGATCTTAATGAGAAAAAAATTGCCTTTGTAGGATGAAAAAAAAAATAAGGCCCAAATTCCCAATGAATTTAAAGTTACAAAAAAACGTAAGCCCAATACCAGTATTTTTGGGTTTCGGAAGGACATGACTCTTGTTTCCTACGTGCCTAAGTGCTATAAAAACGTTATATTAGTTTTAAGCCTACATGATGACGCAGCAATCGACGCAGAAACAGGTGACCAAAAGAAACCCGAGATTATAACATTCTGTAACAAGGCAAAGGAGATGTAGATACAGTAGACAAAGTTTGTGCTTCTTACAATGTTGCCAGGAATACCAGAAGATGGCCGATGGTATTTTTTTTCCATGTTAAATGTAACCGCGATCAATAGTTATATAATCTATTCCACCAATAATAACTGAAAAATACTTAGAAGAAAATGCCTTCGACTACTTTCAAATGCTCTTGTGAAAGGACACGTCGAACGAAGAACGCAATACTCCTTTCAAAGAGCTAAAAGAAAAAAAATTCAAAAAGAAAAGCAGAATTAGGTATCGAGACAGTAGAGGAGGCCACAGCAAGTAAAAGAAGATGTAAGCTTTGCGAAAATATCAACGTTCAAGGATCACGCGCTTCAGCTGTGAATTTTGTTAGAAATTCATCTATATGGAACATTCAAAGCATATTTGTCAGGACTTCAATACTGCGATACATTACTATGTGTAATGTGCAATATCTAGGAGACATCTGGGATTTATGACACCGTTGTTGTTTTTAATGAAATTCAATAAAAAATTTAAGAAATACAGTGTATCAATCTTCCACCGAATATATTTTGTATTAATATTACAATATTTCATTACCTACATCTTAAAATAACTATTTAGCATTTAGCGTATCTAGGAAATACGCGCGACCATTCTTGTTGGTACAAAAGTCGCGACCGCTGGAAGGTTAAAGAACAACAACAGTCTGAATGTTTGCGATAGGCAGAAAGCAGCCAAAGTCAAATTTATTCTAACGGGTTAGTTATCACGTTCATTTATATATTGTTAGAAAAAATCTATACTTAACAGTGAGCGCGTTTATATTATATTAACATAAAATATGGTGGTTTTTTTCATATTTAATCGAACATGTATCCAAAAATCGAACCGCAATTATTACAATGATAAAAAGGGATATTGAATTAGAAATTGAACACATATCAGATTCAGGGGGCATTGTTTACAAAAAAACTGAGAAAATCCGTAAAATTGAAGCTTAAAGGGAAACTGGAGAAAAAAGGGAAATTGAAGTTCAGATTTTTCCGCCAACGGATGTCAGTAAAAGCTGAAACAACTGGACCAATTCATTCAAAGTTTTGAAATAAGACCAACGCACTTTGTAAGTACGATATAGAATTTAATTGTCCATAAGCAAGACTTTTTGTTAAAATTTCACCAGAAAATTGCCTGGAGTTAAAATCGTTGCCAAAAACTGAAAAACTGTGTAAGTGTGTTAAAAACTCTGTTTTTGAATGAAAAAATTTCCCATGTTGTTGATTGAACAAACCAAAAGCTTAAGAAGATGCAACTGTATTATTATAAATACCATAACTGTTCACCTACATATTTTATAAAAATCAGTGCCTCTATAGGATTACTGTATCTCGTCGGTGTAAAAAAAGGCTCAGCATTTAAATACCAAATAACTATAGTATACTGATGAAACAGTACCTGCTTTTTTTGCTGTTATGTCGAAAATGCGCTTTCACACACTTTTGCAAGCAATAAGATTTGATAATTGTCGGACAAGGCAAGAAAGGCTGCAAGAAGATAATATGAAAAAATACTACACAATTGCAGAATACGCAATTATTAATGAAATGCTTGACGGATTTCGTGGTAGGTGTAAATTTAAACAATACATAGCCAATAGCAGGACAAATACGGGATCAAAATACTCGCCCAATATACACGAAGTTTTTATGTTGCAAATATGGAAATTTACGCAGGAAAGCAACCAAATGGACTATTTACAAATGCAAATGACGCCAAAAGTGTAGGAAAAGAGCTTATACTCGTATCTGCAATAGATAATTCAGAAAGAAATAATATAATGGATAATTACTATACGTCAACTGATCTTGCCAGTTAATTATTTCTAAACGAGAGATTAACTGTAGTTGGTACTCTCCGTAAAAATAAGAGAGAAATCCCTCCAAAAGTCACGGTCCTCAAGACCCTAAAAATAAGTAGTTCAATGTTCTGGTTTAGAGATAAGAAAAATCAAAACAACCACTGACTTTTAGTGTCCTATGTTCATAAGCAAAAAGGAACGTTTTGATGTTATTAACCTTCGAAGATGTTGATTGTACCTATAGATCCACGTTCTGGAGAACTACATGAACCCTGATACAGTACGTAATATTTTGATTAGATATTACACACTACATAAAACGCTAAAATCGGCAACATTGCCTCGTATGAGGTAATTGAAATTCTTCGGGATATGCATTGCCCTCCGTCGATTTTTGTTTTCATTAGGCATACCCGGTTATTTCTTATAACATAAACTTGACCAAAATGCATTGACCTTTATAAGGCGGTGCACTTGTAACAGTTTTTTAATAATGTGAATAATTTTTAGGTTACGGTTATGGTTAGGAAAAAGAAGCAAAGAAAGACCACAAATGAGATGGGCTGATGATATTAAGAAGATCAGAGAACAAAACTGGAAGCAAGTGGCGCAAAATAGAAGACACTATATTATTGACACTAGACACTAGAAAGATAAAAGTTGGATTTACTTAAGGCTGAAGAAGAAGAAGAAGAAGGAGAAAATTTTTTGGCTAAATTAAAAATAAAAGCGATTTCTTTAAAAAGATAAAATAAAGAATATATTCCTATTTTAAATAAAAAATAACTCGTAATACAATAAGAAATAATTCTTTATGCCCTACAGTAATGATTTAAATATTTGACCTTCTACAGCTGAACAGTATCCCAATTTTACATAAAAACATTTTGCTATAACAGATCTAACGACTTTTTTTATTCATCCAAATTATTCGAGCGTTGTGAACTGAACAGCCGTCTTGATGAAATTAAACATTGGCGAGATTTACATCAGGAAGATTGAGAACAGCGGGAATAGTCTACTACTAAGGCTTACCAACAGGCAGAAAAGCCGGTATTGGATTCCTAATCAACATGAAATGGAATCGAAAGGTAGTAAAAATTACTAGTATCTCAGGTAGAGTAGCTAGCTTAACCTTACAACTATCAAAGAGATACAATATACAAATTATACAAATATACGCCCCAACGATTACTCAAACTGACGAAGAAATAGAAAAACTACAGAAATGTAAATGCAGTATTAAATAACAATAAAAGTCGTTTCAAGTATTTAATTGGTGACAAGAAAAAATCAAATAGAAAATCGAGAAGGCTCTCGATTCTATATATCCCAAGGCAGTAATATAAGCTTTGACCAATCAAGGTGTTGACAAACCGTATATAGAAACTTTTCTATATACGGCCAAAGTTAAAGTACATGGAATATATTCAAATGCATTCAAAACAGAGAAAGGAACTAGACAAGGTTGCATACTATCACCATTATTGTACAACATATATTCTGAATATATAATGAGAAAAGTACTAGATGAATGGGATGGAGGAATCACTATAGGAGGCAGAAAAATCAGGAACCTGCGATACGCAGATGACACATACTAGCAGCGAATGAAGTCGAAATGATTACCATCATCGAACGGCTAAGCCGAATAAGTGAAGAATTCGGACTTCAAATCAACACCAGAAAAACAAAAATAATGATTGTAGACAGAGCAAATAATAATCTACCGCATATACGCCAAATAGGGATTTTCGAACTAGTCGACAGATAACCAACAATGGTGATTGTTCCTCAGAAATCAAACGTAGACTAGGAATGGCCCGAACCGCAACTGCTAAATTAATTAAAATATGGAAAGACCGAACAATAACAAGGAATACTAAGCTTAGGTTGGTCAATGCCCTTATTTTTCCCATTGCTACATATGCAGCTGAAACATGGACTCTCAAAAAAATCGATAGGAGTAAGATCGAAGCCTTCGAAATGTGGGTATATAGGAGAATTCTACGCGTGTCCTGGACAGAACATAGAACCAACCTGTCAATTCTGGAAGAGCTTCATATAAAAGACAGGCTACTAAAAAAAGTAAACCAAGCATACCTAACCTACTTCGGCCACATAGCTAGAAGAACGGGCACCATGGAACTATTGGTAGTAGAAGGTAAGGTAGAAGGCCGAAGACCAAGAGGAAGATCTCCAATACGATGGGTGGACCAAATGAAGAGTTTGGTGGGAAAATCCCTACATGAAGCCGTCCATACGGCACAAGATCGCAGTCAATGGAGACAGCAGACTAATATTATTTAGGGTGTCACTACGCCCTGACAAGGGCTAAAGGATTGAGGAGGAGGATATAGAAACTTTAGCAAATATATACAGACACGACAAAGCTAAGGACAAATTTACGAAACACTCTAAAATTTCCCACTACCAAAGGCATCCGAGAAGGAGACACAATATCACCAAAGCTGTTCACTGCAACTCTAAAAAATATATTCAGCAAAATACTCTAGCTTCTTCTTCTTCATGTTGCATGTCTTTTCAGAACGTTGGTTACCATCATACCTATTTTAATTTTATTTACTTCCACCCTAAATAGCATGCTTGTATTAACACCATACCAATCTCGCAAGTTCTTCATCCATGAGGTTCTTCTTCGTCCTGGACTGCGTTTGCCTGGTATTTTTCCTTGCATGATATTTTGTAGCAACCTATATTTGGGACCTCTCATTACATGTCCGAAATACTCCAGCTTTCTCTGATTGATGCTTTTTATTATCTCAGTAGTCTTGCTGAGACGTTCTAGTATTGTGGAGTTTTGAATCTTTTCCAACCAAGAAACTTTTAAAATTCTTCTATGGCACCACATTTCGACGGCGATTTAGATCGATTTTATTTACAGTCCAGTAAATTTACAGTCCAGTTTACTCGACACCATAAAGTAAGAGCGAGAACACGTAGCAGAGAAGTAGGTGGATCCTCAATTCCAATTTTAGGTCTTTGTTACACAACACATTCAACATCCTTCTAAAAGCAACTCTAACCTGCTCTATCCTAGATCTAATTTCGCCGTGACTTTCTGCGTTACAATTTAATTGCTGTCCAAGGTAAACAATTTTATCAACTTGCTCAAGTTTGGTATTATTTACATATATATATAGACGGTTTTATACGCTGTTGTTTACTTATTACAAGCATTTTGGTTTTTCGTATGTTCAGATCCAAACCTGCCTTCCTACAACTCTCAACGACACTATCAAGTAGTGTTTGCAGATCTTCTTGGTTAGAAGAAAGGAGTACTGTATCGTCCGCATAAATAAACTGGTTGAACTAAAAAATATATCATTGATGAATAATACCTTAGCCATCTAAGATATGCAGACGATATCGTATTGATTGCTAATAATCCTGCAGAACTACAAGAAATTATAAGCGACCTAAATGCAGCTAGCAATAAAGTTGCTAAAAATAAACTTTACAAAAACAAAAACTAGCTTGGACATCTTTTGGTAGAAATGCAGTTATATTTAAATCGAAGGTGCCAATCCACCTGAAGGAAAAAGCAAGCGATAGTAAAAGAATAAAATGGATCAGATAGAGAACCAACGTTATTAATGTAATTCATCAAATTAAATCTCTAAAATGGCAGTGGGCAGGACATTTAGAGAAGAAAACTGACAATAGATTTTCTACTAGAATTACACTGTGGTATCCCAGAGGCGTCAAGAGACCAAGAAGACGTCCAAATTTAAGATTGGACTATGACATAAGGAAACAAGCCGGTACAATATGGCAGAGAAAAGCAAATTTTAGACAAACGTGGACAGATATAAAAAATGAATGTGTAAGGGAGGCTACACCATAATCTGTAGAATATGCTGAGAATGATAATGATGATGTTGATATATTTGAGCTTTCAATTAGGCTTACAATTTATTTTTAAGAGCTAAAATAAAAATAAAAAATATATGATAAAGTGGAACGAATAATTTTAAAAAAGAAGTAACTCATCAGCTTTTCTAAAATAAAAATTTAATAAAAATTACTATCATTAAGTAAATAAAAATAGCCAATAATAGTTAAACAGGCGCGCTTAATAAATAGTCAATTTACTTATACAAACTTTTCTTATACTCATATTATTTATTAAGATTTAATCGAGAATTCCGTAGTAATCTAAGGTTGAGATGAAATTAAATATTTTACTTACAGCTTTCAGATAAGTAAGATAGTAGTAATATGTACCTGAAACAAAAAAAAAATCAATTTTAATATTTTTTTGTTTTAACGAATATAAATCAATTTAAATAAATATATTAAACTACAATGGGTAATCAAATTATTAGAGTTACCTAGCAAAATTAAATTTTTTATATAAAAATTATATATAATTGAGCTCTATAATATATTAATACATTTGTTTTCATTTGATTATCTCGTAATACTTTATGAAAGTACAGTAAATAGTCTCGCACTAGTGACAATACGTGTGTCTCAGATACCATTGTTTGCCAGTGCTGCCAAGCCTAGCTTGCAACTCGTATGGGTATTGTTTTATGTTTTTGGTATTTAGAATTAAAATAAAAAATTTTCATCGCCCTCTTGTGATATTCTGACAGTCGTGTACTATTTTTTTAATTCAGTAAACACCATGGGAAAAGCCAAGGACATCTGGCCAACCAAAATAGCGGAAATAAAATCTTCATTATTGAACACTAATCACTCCATAATTTCTAAAATTTCAAGGGTAACCGTGGACTGTGCAAAGAAAAAACTTGACAAAAATTTGGATTTGATCCCACGGCGCAAAGAAATATGTAGTGGAAAAAAATTACAACACCACGAGATAAAGGAAAAATTCGAGATATAGGCTTGGAAAACAGAAAACAACATCGAATTAGTCTAAAGAAAATGATGCAGGAGTTTGGCATCAATATTTCACCAATGACAGCTCGTCGGCAAATAAGGGATCTGGGATCTGGGACTCCCCTAACACCAGTCATGAAGAAAAAAAGATTTAAATGGGATAAAGATCGTGCAGATTGGACCATTGATGATTGAAATCAGATAACAGTATTTAACATTGTTTTTTTTTTGTACTTTACAGTTTATAAATTTTTTAATGATACTAAAATATCAATAATATTCCAGTCAACTGGTAGAGATTAAGCAAGGCAAAACTCTTACAAAATTCCTTGCCGGCAACCAGATAAAGGTGCTCGAATGGCATGACAATTCACCTGATCTAAATCCAATAAAAAATCTTTAGAAGCTCATAAGGAAATAAATTTCTAATGAAATTATAATCATAAAGCGTCAATTGATAGAGCGATTAACAGCAGTATGGCACATAGTGGAACAATTCAACAAAGTTGACAGAAATGCACAGAAAGTATGCAAAGAAGGTGGCAGGCAGTTATTGCTACAAAGGGTGGCCCTATTAAGTATTAGGCTTAAGGCACAATTTTAAGTGTTTACTCGTTTCTTTTTTAATATTTGTAAATTTTATAAGGCTAAGTCAGAGTAAAATAAAATAATGCAACCACAAAAATATATTTTATAGTTCAATTACATACCATAATTAAACAAAAAGTAAAATTTTGGAGGGTAGCTTTAATAATTTGAACACCCAGTGTATAATAATGAATACCATGAAAACGATGGAACGATAACTTACTGGAGGCACATTGAAAAAGAGACAGAGTCATGACTATACAAAAAGAAGAAGAAAACAAACTGTTATAAGAAGTAAAGCTAAAAATATAGGAGTATCCTGAAAAGAAAAGTAAAAAATAGTAAAAACGGGATACACATAGCGATTTAAAGTTTCCCCACTCCATCCAATCTGAAATTATACGATGTGTATGATAGCCTCTTTTTCCACTTTACATTTTCTGTACCATGGTTCAATCACGTTACTTATTTCTTAAACGGCAATTTCCATTCTCCGTTTCGATGATTGTTTTAATCTTTTGTTTACTGAGGTTCATCAAATTATCCAAGAGTTTTTTATAAATAAAAAAACTTACTTCTTAGTGTATAATGGTATATTTTTTTTTATTAAAGAATAATAAAGATTTATTCAAAATGATTAAAATTTTTTAAATATAAATAAACATAAAGAAATAAATTTAAAAACCTTTAAATTAGATGAGAATCATGTTTAAATTTATTAAAGTAAGCTTGTTTTACCCGGTGGGCAAAGTAGTCCCCTTTTCGAACAGGGAAAACGTTTGTTCCCTTTATGGTTTAGTTTGCTAACTATTCTTTAATAATGACCCTTCATCTTTGCCGGAAGAAGGCTACTAAAATTAAGGTGTCACCTGATGCACTAAGTGGAAATGTCTTTAACTTTCATCAGGTTGTTCTCACCCCTTAGAATTAGCTACAATGCTACTTAGAATTAGCTACAGAGAACAAAATTTACTCACGGAAGTGTGCTTTGAAGTAGCCAAGAGTGGATCGGAAAGTTCATGGCCATTTTATTTTGGAATTACAAAGGGATAATTTTAATTGGCTATCTTAAAAAAGGTAAAATTATTAAGAGCCAATAATATTGTGTATTTGTGGACAAATTGAAACAGGAACATTAATTAACAAACGGCTTCAGATACAGAACAAACAAGTGTTGTTTCTACAAGACAATGCATCATCTCATCAGAAGAGTTATTACAATTTCAATAATTTATGTGTTATTCTTCAAATTGCTTTCTCATTTGGCTATTGTTCTGATTTAACCCCATTCGATTATGATGTTTATCTGTATGAAATAATTATCATACCAAACGAAAATAGAACTATCAACAAATGTTGGTACGACGTACAAAACTCGATTTTAGAGAAAGTATAAGTCTTTGAAAATAGCTACAATATTGGCAAAAAATTAGTGATAGATTAGTATTAGTATTACCGTGAAATTAACAAACAAGTAAACATTAAGCAAATTAAAGGCTCTAAAATGTATGTACAGAAATAGAAGACCTTCAAGGATCAACATTTAATCTCCTCCACAAGAAACTAAAATCTTCCTCCGGAATCGCGAAACTAAAAAATACTTAGGTACTCAAAAACGCAGATAAAACAATGTGTGATCATAAACAATAGTGCAAATAATACAAGCTATTCATCGGTAATGCCGGAGAAAATGCTATACATACACTTACTGCCTGTAACAACCAGTTAGATAGAGGTCCCAGTATACTGAAATTAGAAGTCAGCAATACAACAAGCCAAAAAATATATAGCACATGGAACAGATCAAATTATTAATGAGTTACTTGAACGTTTAGAAAAGGAAAACATTATCT